GTTAGTGGGAAATAATTGTACTACCCATTGGGGTTTCGAGAGGGAATCCGAAAGGGTAGGCCAAAATGCTCTTATCTCACCGGTCGCTTCTTCTTCTCAATATTCGGAGAGTTGGTCCAAGGTCTATCCGCCCCGTGGCTACTTTTATGCACAAAAAGGATACCCATGACGGAGAGAGCATTTGGTCGCAGAGACGCTGTTTTCGAATGAGTTAGACACTCCGGTCTCCAAATACCTTGATCTGGTAATTGCAGGAGCTTATGATCGGCGAGCGACAGCTAACATGAAATCAGAGTCCTTCCAGATGTGTCTTTCCTGTGCTCTACTCCTCTGCGGTGTCCCTCATTTCTTTTCGAAAGGACCTCTGAGTTCAACGGCACCAATCAACGGTTAGGACCAAAATTGCCACGATGGAACTCATCCGCGTTATTCCGGTCAAACGCGAGCAAAAACGCACAGTTTAACTCCTGCCGATGGTTGGCAGATCAGCAGACAGTACTCCTGTTCTGAATGTTGTTTCTGACGAGTCTCAGAAGACCAAAACAGAAAAGAGACTACTAAACTCCTCGTAGCCCGTTTTGCCCTTACTCCTGGTGCTTGTAGGAACATTTTACCACTGAAGTTTTCAAATTCATTTCAGCATAAATGCATGTGCACGATACAGGGTCTGCTGCCGCTAGCGGGGACTCAAGATTGAACCAAAAGATGCAACTAGAGCATGTACGTAAGAAGTGCTACTATCGTTTTAGGTCTAGCGCAGCAGATGTTTTGTTAAGGAATGCAGAATTCCGTACCACAGCTTATGCAGTTAATCCAACTGTAGGAGAAAAATATTAACACTCAGTAAGCCCGTGCTGTGCTCTTACAACACGCACTTGAAGCGTGCTCACAAGGGCCAAGTAAGGCAGCCTGAGAGCGCAGGCATAATACGATGTAACAGCAACAGCAGCAGCAGCAGTTGCAACGATGCAGCTACACCCGATCCCGTGTTTTACTGCGCTGTGGTGTTTTCGTTAGTGTGTCACCGCTAGCGGGCGCGCATAATCGGGTAAAGCAATGAGGACGTTAATCCACAAGTGAGCCTAGAGGAAAAAGTGCTATCTTTGACCCAGCGGGGAATGAAAAGCCGTGAAGCTCACGAAACTCGCCCCCAGTGCTAGCGTACGGACCCTTAAAGTCGATGGCTTGGTACAGTCCTTAGGGAATGTCAATAACAGGAGTTTTGTCAAAAATTCGTCGCCTATTGTTATATGTCGTTCAGAGATACGGAAAGTGGCGTAGCTTACTCAAATTCTGAAATGGTTGGAAGAAGATGCGACCGCTGGAGCATGGCTTTTATTGGCCCGACTTTTCGTATTCTCGCTTGAACCCCATTACTAGAGGCAGTCGTGTGTGATGGGTTCGAGTGAGAATCCAAAACGTCAAGTCAATAAACTTCTGGTTTTAGCGATTGCATCTTCTCCTTCTGAACTGTTTCCTGTAATCCGTCTGTTCCCTTCTACCACGTAGATTTTTTTCATACTACTGACCCTCGTGCAGCATAATCTCAAGAAAGTGCAGTCATGCCGGCTTCGCAGAGTTTTTTTTAGTTCGCCGGCAGAAACCACGCTGGGTAAAAAATGACTGCATTTGAC